ATATATATATATATACACAGACACAACAGTCAAAATTGTATACATTGACAATCTAATGTAGATAGTGTAACTATTGTATACTATATATACACAAACACACACAATAAAGATATTAGACTTACATTTAAAGCTTATCTCCCACCTCTGCCTAATATTTTTTTTATTCTTTACTGTTTTTAAGAAGCTAAGCAGACACAGACCTGGCTGGGCTGCTTGCTTCTCCAGCCGCAGCTTTTCCTCTCTGGCTCTGTCCTCTGCATTGACAGGAATCCCAGAATCATCCCGAGGAATTATCTTTCCATGGAAAGGGCACTTGAGGAAGAGGAGGGGAGGGGGGGAAAAGTCTCAAAACCTTTAAATGAAAATTCTTACAATATATTTAACACAGCCTAGAGCTGGACACAGGAGTTGAGTAACAAAACTCAACATGATTCCAAGTCTCCCTTAAAAAGCATAAGGATTCCACAAACATGAAGTGTTTAACATATTCAGAATCTCTAAGAAATAAGTTTTTTGTGATACAAATATCCAATTCAAGAGGCCAGGTAGCACATACTGTCAAATCTGGAACTAGGGCACCAATGCTGCATTGTATGTTGTTGTTTACACTGTTTTGTTGTTATGCTGTTGGGGTTGTTCAGCCTGGAGAAGAGAAGACTGCATGGGGCAACTTTTCAATACCTGAAGGGCCTACAAGGGAGCCAGAGAGGGACTCTTTGTTAGGAACTGCAATGATAGGACAAGGGGAAATGGGCTCAAAATGGAGGGGAAGTTTAGGTTAGATATTAGAAAAAAGCTTTTTACTCTAAGGGTGGTGAGACACTGGCACAGGTTGCCCAGGGACGTGGTGGCTGCCCCAACCCTGGCAGTGTTCAGATCAGGCTGAATGAGGCCTTGACCAACCTGGGGTAGTGGGGAGGTGTCCCTGCCCATGGCAGGGGATGTTGGGACTAGATGATCTGTAAGGTCCATTCCAACCCCTAAATTCTGTGATTCTAGGATTCTATGCTGTACAATCCCATTTAAAGTATTTTAGTGCATTCAGTTCCTTCAGCCTCAGATAATACAGGAATACAGGAATAACAGGGATATTAGAACAAAGTATTCAAGCAAAGTAAAAATAAATAAATAAACTAAAAATAGGTACTATCAGCTACACCTCTAAATGAGGAAAAATATTCTGGAAACAACTGTCTCTGCCTTACTGCCAGGTACTCATACATCACAGTAGTAAATAAAATATGAATAACCTATAACGAATGCCAAAATGTTTACAGTTTCCTTACCAAAAGGATACTTCCCATATGAAGCTCCTATTAGCAGTGAACCTCCCCACACACTTTCTTTCACTCCCTTGAGCAATGTGAAATAAACTTTTATGGGTATGTTTTAAGGAGCTCTTCTCCATACAGCACAGATCTTGGAAGCTGATGCCTACCTTAACCCGATCTTGTCTTTCACACAGCCTTCCATCAGGCATTGGTGCTCGGCATTTATGCTTCACTGGTTCAAACTTGCCAGCAAATGTTATATATCTAGTTTTTAACATTTCTGTTATTTCTTTATTTTCCACCTCTTCCTCTACTTCACTGGGTGCCCAAAATCGATGTTCGGATGAAAATCTGGGAAAACAACAATTGAAAATTGTTCACAAAGTTGTAAGAAAGCACATAAATATGCCAGTATCACCCTGTGGTAAACTCAAGTGTGAAAGGAAGGGAAGCTTTACTAGCAAATTAAAACCACCAAGGACTCGACCAGTCTTCCTTATGACTCCTATATTATGAAGATGCTTTTCAAATATCACCAAAGTCTGTCTAGTATTGATTTCCTGTTTAACCTGCTAAGCTATTACAAGTCTTAGCTTTAGTTCATAATCTGACATTCAGAGCCAGTTGTCCAATATTTGGATTCAGGGAGTAATTCTGTAATTCTGTAGTTAACATTCTTCATAACAAAATACTTATATGATTGAACACAGAAGACAGATCAAGGAGGAAACAGTTTGATCTTAACTTGTCTGATCTTATTCCTGGTAGCTGTACTCCTGTAGCAGCAGAGAAGCAGGAGCTGAAATCAGACTATGTTGTAATATGCTGAGACAAAGGGAAACAGGCAACAGTCAGCTGAGCCTTATACAGATTCTTTCTGCAGGATCTCCAATACGGTGTCCATAAATCTGAGAAATTATCAGGTGTTTCACTAGGAAATTAAGCTAATCCATTGAAAATCTATTTTAAAATTAGAGACCTTACCTATATTTAAAGACACACACAGGCAAATATTCAGTGGTCTGAACTCCCCTCTCCCTCTAAATTATCCAATTACAGTCACATGAGAATGAAGAAGCATTTCACAGCTGGGCATGTCAACCTTTCCAATTAAGAAAAAGTTCCATTTAATAACTGTACTGTCCCCCCAGCCTCAAATATGTGATCAATAAATCTCAAGGACATTAAAATTACATTTTACTCTGTGTATCATTGATCAGTGTTTCAGAACTGGACTGAAAATAGTCTGATTCCTACAAAGAGGTACATAAATATTATTGTTTATGACATGCATGTAACTTATTTTCTCCCAACATGACTTACAAGCAGGTCAGAAAAGAACAAAGCAATGCTAATTCCCAAAGGTCCCTGATTCCTTGTGGCAAGTCAGGCCACATTTTAAAAGGACAGATACTTGTTTGAAAAAATGATGCATGAGACAAGTAAAACCTATTTGTAAGATGAATCAGAAGGGGAACAGATAATCAACTAAAAGATAAAAAAGAACACCTCACTCACACTCAGAGAGTGTTCCTAGTCTAGACAAGTAAAGGAGGTTTTAATGGCAATGACACAGCAGTACATGAGGAGGAATAAAAGACAAGTAAATGGCAACTGAAATCTAAAAGAAAGACCAGCTCCTGGAGAAATGCTGCAGACTTTCAAGGTGATGGGGAGCTCATAAAAAAATTGAATAAATATAAATTCTAAACCCAGATGCCTACAGAGATCTCGAAGCAAGTGCAAAATGGGCTAATTCAAACACCCTAGTCACCGTCAGTGCTGCACCAGCCATTTTACTCTGCTGCTGAGAGTAAGGTAATTTAATTCAAGGAGGAGGGTAGATGAGTTTGGAAGGTCCATGCTATCTAAAATAGTCTGTTTAGCTGACAGAGCAGACTCTACACAACACTGTGCAGTATACACTACCTCCCTGCAACCTCCCCCAACAAACACACAAAAAGTGCCACTACAGTTTTATAAACTCATTTTAAGAGTTCTTAAACTACTTTAATGACTTGTGTGAGAGAAGGTAGCAGTAAGGAAAATCATTCAGCCCAAACTTTTGTCACTTTCTAGAGAAGGTGACAGATCATCATTTACCAGCTAAGCAAAACTTCTTTAGAAAATCATCTTCCTGGTAACTACATTCTATCAAAATCTGAATTTATTGTAAATGCTAGGATTAAGTAAGTGTATTGTTAAATAGGTGAAGCACAAAGACTTTTCCCCTTCAGATTAAAAAAATTCTAATTCCATACACATCCCATATCTGTTGTCTGGTTTTTTCAGTTTGCTCTTTTCCCCTAAGCATCTTACAGAGCCAGTATGTGTGCATATAGGAAAGTTAAAGGAGTTGGCCAATAACACCTTAATTTTTTAATAAATATATTTTATGCCTGGGGTCAATGGCATTGTGTGTGCAGAGTTACTTAAATTATCTTTAGTTGGATTGGCATATCTGTAGTTATAGACTATAAGGTTCAGAAGTGTGCCCTCTATTTTATTGGAAAGCATAAAAATAAAACAGTACAGCACAAGGCAGACAGGCAGTGAAATATGCTTCTGATTTCACTTATGACTTGAATAACTCATTTGCAATGTAAAATAAAGCCTTACTACCTCTTTGGCATTATCACCGACAAATGCTTCTTAAAACCCTGCTGAAAATCTTAACCATTTTATAGGCTTTGAAGAGCCTACACCACATGAGGTGGAATCCAAACCCTGGAGTGACTGTGGTAAAGCACTATCAGATATTCAAATTGCACCAGTTTTCAGTAATTTAAAAGATATTAGGCATTTTATGCAAACAGGTACAAGGGCAAAGATTTCCTCTTGTGCCTTTCTGCCAACATGGTCTTAACAGTGTGATTCTAGGTTGGGTTTTTTTGTTAATTTTGGTAAGAGAAGAAAGTAAGTTAAAGTAATACAGCTGAGAACATGAGAATTTGATTTGCAACCCAGCCAGTCAATGATTTTTGCCTTTTTCAAGCTAGCTATAGTACACACTGATACTAAAGTTCTGGTGAACTTAAATTAAATTTATACATAGAGAAAGGACTCTGTATCCAATATTTCATATAAAAATACTAGTGCTAAAAAGGGGTTTTAAAAACTGACTGCCAGAAACAAGTTCTGATATATACCTACCAGCTCTTCTCCCTGGCATTGCTAAACCTTTCCCTAAGTCAGAGTAGTTTCACAAAACCTCCCCGACAAGAATGGAAAATGAAAGATCCAAATTCAAATTTTGTAACTGCCACCTTTCTCTTGTGTGACTGAATAAGCATATCCACTTCCTCAGTTACCACTCTGCAAGGTCAGGAAGAATACCCTGATACCTTCCCAGCCCTTCTCCTACCTTGCCTGGTACTTATTTAGACTGTAAAGTCTCCAGCTAAGGCAATGTCTATCACGCACTTGGCAGAGCACTTTACATAATGAGGTACCAACTTAAATTGGAGTAACTGATGCCATGCTGCAAACATGAAAAGAGCAGAAAAAAAAGTGCTTTGACACATCAAAGGATATTTAATTAGTGTCATATCTTCTCAAAACAAATAACATTTAAAGGTAGAATTTCTGACTTTGTTTATGGCTCCTACAACACAAGTGAAAAGAGAAAAGTAATTATCAGAAGAAATAGCAGTCACCTCACTGCATGACCTCTGAGTGCAAGTTAAATCTATTTATTTGTTTAATTTGTCTTAAAAGAAAAAGTGCATTACTTGAGAATCTTCCCAGCATTTGGCTGATCCTCTCCCCAGTAGTGAAGATCTAATCCAAAAGGCATGAGGGGAGCTTTAGCTCTTTCTTCTTCCCGTTTTCTTCTCTTACTGTCAGGACCTTCCAAGGCTGCTGCCTCAGTAGTTGCAGATTCACTGGAGAAAATTGATGAAAAGTCAATACAGAACAGTAATGACAACAACTTTTTCTCTGTTGTCATTAGATTTTTCACACCAACACTAATATTACCTGAGATCTAGGACTACAACTACTTTTACAGCCACACACTCTACATACAGCTCACTGCTAGAGCTAACACATATTGTACTGTAGGGGCAGAAACCCAGAAATCTAATGGGAGCAGCAGTGGATCAGGCATGTTGTACTCCAACAGGAGCTACAGATGTGGTACTGTAAATCATTTTCAGAAAGATCCTGCCTCTGTAAACTCATGCTTATGCTTGCATGGCAGTCACACAGATTGCGAAGTCTTTCTTTTGACAAAATTCCATCTTCCAGGCTGATAATACTCATGCAACACCAGTACAGAATTTGTTAGTCCTCAAAAACCAGAGTACTACTGTGGCGATCTTAGGGAGTCACTGACAGAACTTCAAACAGTCTTAGTCACTGAACTGAAACATGAAATTTTTCAAGATTATAAGTCAAAATACATCCCTGAATACTCCAAACTCTGAAGTTCTAATGAAGCAAGTCTCTTTCTCAGATTACAATCATTTACTAGGTTTTGGGGGCCTTCCTGGCTAATGCAAAAGTGTCTTTTCAGGAACATGCCACTAAGTAGATGACTCCAGTTTTATCCCCAAAACACAGATAAATTCTAGACAAAGTAGGAGTTTCACTAAACTTTGAACAGAATTGACAACAGATATGCCTTTAGAAGCAGTATAACAAATCTCCAGGCAGCACTGACAGCCTAAGCCACTGGAAGCCAAGAGATGATTGAAACTACCTGCTAATTTAGTATTAGGATATATTCTGTTTAGTTGGAAACAAAAAATTACCCCAACAAATAAGGATGGGTGTTTTTTGTTAGCAGAGAAGGGAACAGTACATTTTCATAAAGGCTATTTACACTTGGTGTCCTAAATTAAGTGAGAGTAGAAGACTCCTTAAGATCCTGGTGCCATCAACAACAAAATCCCAAATACTAAGCAATAAATGTAACTTCCAAATTAATCCAAGCCAACCTTAGCAGCTTGCTTGGTTCATGAATGCTTTTCTGTGCACTGTTGTGATTAATAAACACACGAGCAAAAGGTTTCTACAAGAATAAAAGAAAGATAACCTGGTGTGAGGAGGTGGCAACTTTGGTAGCTTGTCTCTAATAAGTTTCAGTGTGGCAGCTGCACAGGTTGGATCAAGTTCATCTTCATTCCCTCTGAGTTGGATGCGGGAACTAGGTGGAGCGGCTCCTGTCAATGTCTTCGCCACCAGTGCTTTTGGAGGTGACTTGGGTTCTAGCCCTGCAAAAAAACTTCAAGTTTAGGAGTGATTCACATGTCTTACTGCTTTCATTTTGTGTTAGATATCAATCCCACTTAGAGACTTGTATTTCTGCCCGTGAAATTTTTCTTACTTTGGAACAGAAACACACTGAGTAACTAACTACAGCAAATCAACTTTTAAATTTGTATGATACAGTGTGACAACAAAGAATGATGTTACTTCACCTTGGAAAGAAGGATTTTAACAATACATGTTTGCCTAAACTTCCCTTTCTGTATGTAAGTTTCTAGTGTCGCATCTGCTTGCTGGTATAGAACTTCTGTACTCAAGGTTATATCAAGGTAAAACGGAAGAAAGGAACTACTGGCACTATTGTTTAACAGTCCCAAAAGACATCTAAGAGAAGGAGAAAGCAAAAGGAAAGCCACACATCCATAGCCTCCTGTGTGGGAAGAGTAATTCCTTGTGGTGTGTCAGTAAAAAGTCCTGCTAAAACTCTTACAGCCTGGCAAGAATACACATCTGGGTGGGGATTCACTGCAACAGGACTGAGGAGAAAGGGAACCATCACCACCAACACAGCTGGCAGGGAAGGACACCCAGTGAAAAAACAAAGTGTGTGTGAGGAACATCCCTGCTCTTTGACCAATCTCAGCTACCATATTGACACTGAGAATGTAAAACAAAACTGGGACAGCACCATTGAGATTATCTGAGTTTAGATTCCTAAATATAACTGCAAGCAGAATTATCAGAGAACATTCTTCTTTCACAGATAGTAAACCACATGATTTGCCAGGAGAAAATACTGAAGTGCTGGCAGAAGCAGTAAGTACACCCACAGAGTATGCCCAAGAGACAGTAAATGCCTGAGGAACAAACTCTCTGCAAGGCTGTACCAGGCACTGATGTTCAGCTCCAGCAGCTCAGTAGTGGGGCAACTTAATTACTTTATACAGGCAGATTAGAGAGACAGCACAGACTGTAACAATGCAATTAGGCTGAGCAGTTAGACAGCACATGCCTCTACCCACTGAGCTAGAGAAGCAAATCTATTCCCCAGCAGTGGTAACTAGAACTTTTCAGCCAACAACAGCTAAAAACAGAAAGAGAGGATCCCTCACACTAACGTAATATACTATATTTGGCCTCTCAGAAAGTCTTTTTATAAAAGTGTTTATTGAAATGCAAGGCCCCAGCCCTCAAAAAAACCCTCTAAATTAATACAAAAGTGTCATGGTTTCATAAAACTAAAATTTTCAGCAAATTATCTCAGTCTTCTTATGAAAAGCAACCAAAGTTTACCAAACATGTTTTAGCTATTTTTTAATTATGCCTTTTAGTCTTTTGTCCAATTCCACCCAGCCCTGAAGCTGCATCCAGAAGTATTCTTCTTGCTTTGCTGGTCATTACATGTATCACAAGACACCAAGTGGAAAAGGAAAAGCTAATGTGGTACCTATGACCTGCCCTCTGAGTGGGAAACTGTAGGACCATAGTGGCAGCTTTGGTACACAAACTATTTTCCTTTCAGAGAAAAACATAGTTTTCACAAACAAAAGTAGAACAATTTGTCCTGACTCCTATTTTACCTTATAAAGTCTTCCAGTACTTCATCCTAACCTTGATTCATTTGCACCATTCATTCTCTTTAGCCTGTGGGGTGCAACCACACGGATGGCATTGCCTGACTCGAGCCACAGGTCAAGGTGCTGAGTTAGCAACCTTCGAGAGCCACTCCCTAGGTACACATGGGTCTACATTTTCCAAGTACCTAGATCAGGAGCTGAATTCTTGTGTTTTCCAAAGCTCCAAGCTCAGGGCACTGAGAAGGATGCCCTGTCAGCCTTTTGTTTAACCAAGTTCCTGGACACCCTCTCCCCACAGACAGCTGACAATCCTAATTCAAAATCCACCAAGCTAGACACTCTCAGAAGCAGACATCCAGTTGGATCTGGCTTGGGTGCATGTGTAGCCTTTAAATTTTGCTGCATACAGTGCATGGTCACTCCAGTTATTCCTAGATCTTCTGGATACAACTGTCTCCAAAGAAAATAGAATGTTCCAGAACACTCTCAAGGATGAGGACTCTTCTAAGACCATCTGAGAGTCCAAGTCTCTCTCTAGTATGAATTATATTGGTAGCACCAAAGGGAAATGTTTTAAGGCAAGACCAGTAATTACAACTGCAGCAGGTGGCTCACCTGTCCCCTTCAAAACAAGAAATGGAATCTGGATTAGGAAAGAGGATGAGACAGTACTAGCCATCAGCAGTTAGTAAGCATTCACAGAGACTCTGTTGTCTTCTCCTTGCTCCCTCATGACAGCTCAATACATTCCTTCTGCTTATCCAGTGTGTGGCACAGAGAAACGTGGACCATTTTAAGAAGATGGCTGAGGCAAGTGTATCTGTGATGTAACCTGTGCGTGACAGTATATTCTCATGTCCACAGAGAGACTCGAGCCAGCTCTGGCAGACTGATGCATTCCACCTTCACTCAGAAAACGCTCCTGGAGTATCACATAGACAGCCCACACATCTCGGAGCAGGTATGTTGGCTGCTGCTGCTGAGCACATATGACACTACTACACCCTTACTCACTCCCTGCCCACACCACATACTCTAATGAAAGCTACGAACACACCACATTCACTGTGTTATCTAACTTCCTTTCCAAAGCCAACAAGGCTTTAAAGAACATTGTTAAAAAATCATTTAAAGGACTAATGTGTACATTGGAAAACAGTCTTGAAATTAGCAGTAGGACAAGAATATGGGAAATTGTAATTAAATATAATAGGATGGATCTAAGCAGAGAAATATCTAGGCTAAATAGCAAAAAGAAATTAGCTCATTACACCTATTAGGCTGTGGAGTTGCTGTTCAAGAGGGATACTGATGCCTACATGAAAATGTGTTTTTTTTGAACAGCACTTCAGTGAAATAATAATGCAGGAATTTTGAATTTATGTCTCTGGAAAAGGGGCAGGATAGGGCTCCATCTCAGTTCATTCCATAGGCTAGAAAGAGAAAAAGCCCTTATCAGGTGCTTTGTTTCAATGTGAAGCAGAATTAACGCATTAAAGAGTGTTGTAGGCACACTTTAGTATCACTGGTATTTGGAAAAGTAATCTTCCTTTCATGACAGAAACAGTTACAAACAGGCCCTTTGGCATGAACAAGATTAACTTGGAAGAATATGTCACACACTCTATCTGTAATATGGAATTGCTTAGACTGTATTTAGCATTTTAAATTGCCTTTTTTTACTTTTTTTTGTAAGAGAAGAATTCCTTTCTGAAAAGTATTGTTTAAAGCAACAGTTTTAAGAGCACTTTTATGTGTACTATTTACAAACAGTAAAAAGAAGTCAGAAGACAGCACATTTGTGTCTCTCACCACATTCTTCTCTCATCTTCAGAGAAAATATCTGCATATGTCTTAGAAGTACTAAACCCCTCTATTATTTTCCCAATTTTTTCCTATGATGTTCACAGAAAGCATGTCTACTTGTTCACTACACTGGGGAGGGGAAGGAGGGTAACTGCAGAGACAAGCAGTGAGCAACACACAGAAAAGGCAAGAGAGATAAATGGACAATGTGACATTTAGACAGATAAAATCACAGCCAAAAGATCAATATAGGAATTCTTAAGAGTTACAAGTACAAAATATTTTCTCATTGATTTCTTATTTCAAACCATTAACAGAAAAATAGCTAAAGGTAAATACACTGCAACATCAGTAACATCACCTCCACAGTGGAGTCTTTAAAAAACATTTGTGTATGAAATTAGTTTTTGTTAACAAGCTAAAGACAAGAGTCACCATGCAGACAGACCCAGCTGAATGGTGCCCAATGTCAGGGTGGGGCTGCTTTGTTTTGGTTTTAAGACATAGATGGGATTAAGTACAGTTTTAAAAGTAAAATTCCTCATAAGAATTCGGCTGTTCTGAGTGGTTTATGTAACACAAGTACAGTACCTGGGTTCAAATTGTTCCAGTAGCAGCTTTGAGAATCATAAAAATGTTCAAATCCTCCTTTTTGTTTAAATTGAGCAAATGGCACCTATTTGCCTGAAGCAATAACGTAGACTGTGTTCACAAGATAAATCAATAGAAGGAAAGAGAGAGGCTGAGGTTTCAGCTGAAGTTAGGCTGCTGAATGCTGACATTATTGATTTTAGCTATTTCAGCTGGCCTTGTAATTAAAATGTAAATTTGAGAAAGAGATTATGTCCTGACAGAAATGGTGGGATTAGGGGGAGATAAAAGCCCCTCAGTGAAAATTCAGAGAAAGAGCAAGCACAGGTTTCCTCAGCTATGTGGATTTAGACGAAATCTAGCTACTTCAAATTCACTTAAGTTTAATTGAAAAAACGGAGACAGAATATAAACAAGTATTATGGACTTCAACCTTCCTGAAAAAAAAATAGTAATTTCTGTTTCCCATTTGTTGAATCTTAGTCCAGCCAAGAGTGTGCGCTTTATATTAGTACAGACACTCTCCAAGACTGCCAGAAAAATCCAGCAGTTCAGGTACAATATTTCCCCACTTACTCTATTGTGCTCCCAATGAAAACACCTGCTTGTATTTCACTCAGGAAGCACAATAAGCTTTACTCCTCAGTGAACAGGACTTGGCAAAGCTTCCTTCGTATGGACTTGCAGATCAGAGGGCTCAAGCCATTGTCTGAGGCGCTGCTTCCAACAGCTTCAGTGTTTCAGGAGCAGTTCTGCCATACCTCTCCATGCACAAGGTGTGTGTGAACAAAATTAACACAGGTGATCACACAGTAGGAAGATTTCATTGTCTCTAAAGGTTCTGCAACCCATAAAGGATGGAGATTTGAATGATATGTCCCCCCGACAGGTATCTGATCTTAATGAAGCCATCACAAAGTAAAGGAATAGACATTGGGTTTGCTTGTTTGGTTGGTTTTTTTAATTGGGATCAACTTTCAAGTCTCTCTATCTAAAAAAACAATAAGGCTCTTTTCTTGTTAATATGACTT